TAATCGTCGACCTCCACACCTTCCTATAAAGGGTCATGTCCTCAGTGAATTGAAGCAGCGCCATGTCCTGTCTAATCACCTCTCCCCAGTACTTCTTAGGTCTACCTCGACCTCTTCTCAAACTTGTTGGGTTTTGGATGTATTTAATTAATATATATATTAAATACTTAAAAGAGGCTGAATGGGAAATGGAGGAAAATGAAATTTTTGAGTGAAATTTTAAGTTCCCCCCTTGGCAAATGGGCATTGTCCCATATTGGAAGAGGAAGAGGTTTTTTATGGGTATATAAGCAATTGCTCTTCTTCTAGCTCTTAAAGAGTTGAGAAGAAGGCAAGCCTCGCGCCGTCTTCGTCGCCGCTCGCTCGGCTTCGGCTTCGGCTTCGGCTTCGGCTACGGCTACGGCTACGGCTTCGGCTTCGGATTCGGATTCGGATTTGGATTTGGATTTGGTCAAATGATCGATTGATTGATTAACTTTTTGGACCAAATTTATTTGTTAATAGTAAAATATTAATAGAAATGTTATTAAGTATTTATTTTAATAACAAAATATTAATATTAAATATTAATATTAAATCCAATCCGTTTTTCTGTTTTGGTAACAGAAAAGTAACTACCCTCTTCAATTTTCCCTCTTTATTTTCCCTCTTTATTATTGAGTAAATGGCCATTTATGTAATGACATTTATGTTGTGGGCGTTTTGCATAAACAGCCATTCTGAAGAGTTACACCTCTTCAGATTTCAGCCCAACTTTGGCTATAAATACAACATTATTCTGCTCAGAATTTCACTACGATTTTCTGAGTTTTCTCTCCTTCTTCTGCATACTTTTAGCATCAAACAAAGTAAAAAGTAAGTGTGATTTGCTACCGAACTTTGTGTTCGCTAAAACACTGGGGTTTGAAGTACCACTACACCAGTGTGTAATTCGTTCTATCCTGGGAGGAAATAATCCATAACCTTGGGTACTAGGAGGGAATTAAATTCCTTAAGGAAACACTGTGAATTCAGTGGGCTCGAATTGGTTTTATGTCATTTATGTTTATGTTCATTTCTGTTTATATTCATTTATATTTTCAGAATTATTTTACAAATACAGTCTACTAACAAGCTTAAGGAATTTAATATATTTTCTGTATTTGTACTTACTGTTTCTGGAAGAGTAAAACCTTTGCGGTTTTGTACTCTATTAAAATCTACATGATTTTAACGTTTGTGTCATTCTTTTACAGAAATGACTAATGAGAATGAGAACCAAGCTGTTCCAATGGTGACTGCCAATGCCTCAACAAGCCGAACGACACCGGCAGCATTGGCACCGGCGGAGAAACCCGGAAAATTTTCCGGGATTGATTTCAAGTGCTGACAGCAAAAGATGTTCTTCTATTTAACTACTCTAAGTCTCCAGAAGTTCATCAAGGAAGATGTTCCTGTGTTGTCCGATGAAACTCCAGAAACTGAACGCTTTCTCGTGATTAAGGCGTGGAAGCATTCAGATTTTTTGTGCAAGAATTATATTCTAAGCGGGCTGGAGGATGCTTTGTATAACGTCTACAGTGGCGTGGAAACGTCAAATGAACTGTGGACTGCGCTTGAAAAGAAATACAAAACCGAAGATGCCGGGTTGAAAAAGTTTGTTGCTGCAAAGTTTTTGGACTACAAAATGGTAGATAGCAAGTCTGTTATTACCCANACAATTGCCGCGAGCAAAGATATTAATGACGAGGAAGGCTTTTTTGTTATGCTACTAATACTTGCTCTGCTATTCTGCCCAAGCCTGGCTGAGGAAGAGTTACGGGGCGTAAAACAAAAAATACGCTGATCGGGCATACTATGTGTAATGATTCCCCCATTCACGATAAATAATAAATAAAAAGAGAAAAAGAAAAGCCATTCCATTTCGACAAAAGACCCACACCCAAGTTCCATAGCTTTTGGTTCGCTATCCCGATCATGATTTTCCTACCCCCAGAGGGAAAGGTACTTCCCTTTTGGGCCGGTTGTGGGCGAGGAGGGATTATGTTGCTGCAAAGTTTTTGGACTACAAAATGGTAGATAGCAAGTCTGTTATTACCCAAGTCCAGGAATTGCAAGTGATTATTCACGATCTCCTTGCTGAAGGTATAAATCAAATTAATATTGATGTTGAAAGTAATAATCTTAGTATTTTTACTAACAGAAATTTCATTGAAGGTCTTGTCATCAATGAAGCATTTCAAGTAGCAGCAATGATTGAGAAGTTGCCTCCTTTATGGAAGGACTTCAAAAACTACTTGAAACACAAACGCAAGGAGATGTCCCTTGAAGATCTCATTGTTCGGTTGAGAATCGAAGAGGACAACAAAGCTGCTGAAAAGAGAGGCCGAGGAAACTCAACAATAATGGGAGCAAATATTGTTGAAGATAACAAAAAGAGGAAGAAGGCTTCTGGACCAAAATACAACCCAAGCAAGAAGCGGTTCAGTGGAAACTGCTACAACTGTGGAAAAACCGGACACAAATCTACGGAGTGTCGTGCTCCGAAGAAAGACAAGAAGAAGGGTCAAGCAAACATGGTTGAAAAGCATGATGATGTTGATGATTTATGTGCCATGCTTTCCGAATGCAACTTGGTGGGCAATCCTAAAGAGTGGTGGATTGATTCTGGAGCCACTCATCATGTTTGTGCTGTTAGAGAAGCTTTTGCTTCTTATGCTCCTGATGGACCCGATGAGACGATTTCTATGGGAAATGCTTCAAAGGCGAAGATTGAAGGATGTGGGAAGATATTTCTCAAAATGACTTCCGGCAAAGTGGTGACTTTGAACTACGTCCTTCATGTTCTCGAGATTAGGAAGAATTTAGTCTCTACTGGACTTCTTGTTAAGAATGGTTTTAAATGTATTTTTGTTTCCGATAAGGTTGTAATAAGTAAGAATGAAATGTTTGTAGGAAAAGGTTACCTCACTGAGGGCATTTTCAAGCTGAATGTAATGGTTGTTGAAAATAATAATAAAATTTCAGCTTCGTCTTACTTACTTGAGTCAAATGAATTATGGCATATACGTTTGGGTCATGTCAATTATAAAACCTTACGAAAAATGATTAATTTGGAAGTATTGCCCAAGTTAGAACGTGACAAATCAAAATGTCAAGTATGTGTGGAATCTAAGTATGTTAAACATCCTTATAAGTCGGTTGAAAGGAATTCAAATCCTTTAGACTTAATTCACACAGATATTTATGACATGAAGTCAATACCATCTCGCGGTGGAAAAAAGTATTTCATAACTTTTATTGACGATAGTACCGATATTGCTATGTTTACTTACTTAATAGTAAAGATGAAGCAATAGACGCATTCAAGCAATACAAAAATGAAGTTGAAACGTAACTTAATAAGAAAATCAAAATGATAAGAAGTGATAGGGGTGGTGAATATGAATCTCCTTTTGAACAAATATGTTTAGAATATGGAATTATTCATCAAACAACGGCCCCTTACACGCCCCAATCTAATGGGATTGCAGAAATCATTAAAGGAGATGATGAACGCATTATTGATAAGTTCTGGTTTGCCACAGAACTTGTGGGGGGAAGCCGTTCTTACGGCTAGCCGAATACTAAATCGAGTACCCCATAGCAAAACACAATCCATTCCATATGAAAAATGGAAAGGAAGGAAGCCCAACTTGAATTATTTTAAATTGTGGGGGTGTTTGGCAAAAGTGCAAGTTCCTAAACCCAAAAGGGTAAAAATAGGACCGAAAACCGTTGATTGTGTTTTCATAGGATATGCGACTAATAGTAAAGCATATCGATTTCTGGTTCATAAATCAAAAAATCCCGACATTCATAATAATACGGTTATAGAATCAGATAATGCTGAGTTCTTTGAAAATATATATACGTATAAAAAGGAATGTGAGTCGATTGGTGAAGGATCTAAACGACCTCGGGAAGAAACAAAAGAAAGTACACTTAACCAGGAGGATCGAAGACGTAGTAAACGTCAAAGAACGTCTACTTCATTTGGACCTGATTTTGTGACTTACTTATTGGAAAATGAGCCTCAAACATTTAAAGAAGCTATGTCTTCTTCGGAATCATTGTTATGGAAAGAGGCAGTCAATAGTGAAATAGAATCCATACTGAACAACCATACATGGGAATTGGTTGATCTTCCTCCTGGAAATAAACCGTTGGGTTCTAAATGGATCTTTAAGAATCTGCCCAGCAAACGAAAAAAGTGGAAGAACCACAACTATTTTAAAGTCGCGGAATAGATAACTAATTCACATTCAAGTTGCATTCAACGTAAATGGTTCATGCCTCAAAGTAGAATTAGAAAGACTGTTTTGTTCCCTTTGAACTCCTTTTTGGTTTGTGTCAGTCTCTAGACACACTAATTCTTAGCCAATTGATACGTCTATCTTAGACAATCAAAAGAACTTCGTTGTCAGTCAATCATCTTTCATTAGAAGATACAGAACCTAAAATGAAGGATGGCCCCAAATGCATACTGTTCAACAACAACAACAACAACAACAACAAACCCAGCGTAATCCCACAGGTGGGGTCAGGGGAGGGTAGTATGTACGCAGACCTTACCCCTACCTTGAGAAGGTAGAGAATTGTTTCTGATAGACCCTCGACTCAGGAAAGAAAAAAGATAAAAAGGGTAAAAAGGCTCAGGAAGGATAAAAAGGAAGGTTTAACAACAAGCAGCAACACCAACAACCAATCAGAAAACTGAAGCGAAAGAAACAACAAGTAATAATAGAAATATAAGAATAAGACAATATAAGACTAACACTAAGTAGTGCACTAAAACTACTGGTATGAACAAGGCAAACACTCGGCTACCTAACCTTCTACCCTAATCCTCGACCTCCACACCTTCCTATCAAGGGTCATGTCCTCAGTAAAAAATGCATACTGTTCGACGATCATCAAATAACTAATTATTTGGTTCATTAATATAGACATTATCTGCCAACCTACACATGCAGATTTCATTAAAATAAAAGATAAACGAAAATAACAAAATAACGTGCAATAGACAGAAGAAGAACATTGATAGGTGAGCTCTGTAAACAAACCTCTTTTTCCTGTTCTTGCTCGTGTGTTATTCTCAATCTCAAATTAAGGGCAGCATGGTACATTTCATCTAGAACATGTTCCCAAAGAGATTGCTTATTAATTTTCCACAGTATGAATTCTGATTGCCTTGCTCCACGTGCAATAACTTTCTGGAGCAAATGTGGGAATATCATTAGTGTGTGTTAGAAGCTTTGTTCAATGCAATCTCTCTCTCTCTCTCTCTCTCTCTCTCTCTCTCTCTCTAAATATATATATGTATATATATAGATGTGTGTGTACATGTGTATGCACGTGCTTGCATGTGTTACAAAGGAAAGAAGAATAACAAGCTTTCTTCAATATAAGTCGCAGTTGGAAAATAAAACAATTTCGAGCTTATCATTTTGATTTGTATTTTTGTCCCTCTTGACATATTATGTCCTGCAAGTGCAAGCCCATTAGGGGGTTTGAAACACCATCAACCTTCTATATCTTAGAACGAAAAGCATATTAAAGCTTGAGCAAGAGTATAGGTCAGAAGGCTCCGTAATAACTGATTATCTAATGTAGCACAGGAGGGCAACGAGGAGAAATTCCTCGTTGCATAAGTGGGTATTTATGCTATCTCATGCACCTACTTATTGTATCCTTTGTTGACCTTCTGACCTTAGTTGATTGTGAGATTTATTGGCGCTGTGTGAAGGTTCACTATTATCCACCTTCCTTTTCTCGCTTCACTATGGATGGAGACCTTAAAAGATGTGAGGGAATTGCTGTTGAAGCAAGGATGTGTCTAGTTAGTAGCAATGTTTCTGCTTATAGAAAGAAAGCCAGCAGGAAGAAGCAACCATTCTCCTGTACTTCTGATGAATCAGAATGATCGTCACGCCCTAGATTCTTGAGATTTTAAACAACTGATAGATTTTCTTATTGAGAAGCTTAACAATTCATCCGCTTTGCATAATCGGGTAATTTTGCTGGGTTAGAGAGTTCGCGGTCTCCCAAATACCATCCAACTTGAGCTAAAATTTAAGCCCCCCCCCCCCCCCAAACAAAAAACACACACACACACACAAAAACAATTTTGCGTATGGATCTCTACTGCGAAGCACAGAATCAACGAAGTTGTGCACAGTATCTGGAACTTCCAAAGGATACTCTTTTCTATAAGTACTTCCAAAGGATATTTTTGCTGCTTAAATAAAGATCTTTTTTTTTAGCTCTATGAATTTCAGGGTATGCACCAGGTGTCTAGAAATGTCTCATTTTGATCAGCGAAATACAAAATTTTACTTTCAAAAAGAACAAATTATCTCGTGGATTACGTGAGACGAGAATAGATTAGCAAGAGCACCTCCCCTGGAATGCATCCTGAGATCGGAAACATACTCAAATCATCCCCACCATGGGATAGATCAGAGTAAGGCATGTTACTGTTTAGCAAGACAAGAGATATACTTTATAGCATGTTAGAAAACAACACTTACCCTCCCTTCATATTGGCTTTAGCTATCTTAAGATGCAGAAGCAAGCCAAATATGCCTTTTTGCTGCTTCCATGACATTGGCATAAGACAGCAAGAAAATCCACAAAATAATTTCGAGATATTTTTTATTCTACTCTCAAAGGTCTTCAATTTTAAGGAAGCATTCCAATCAGGAGATTTTCTTCTTCTACTACAACAGAAGCCCAGAAATATATTACCTTCATCTCCAAGTAGTCATCTTTCCACAGCTTAAATAGAATCTTGACTGCATCTTTCTTTTCAACAAATGTGGTATCTGAAATCTGAAAAGAAAACAGTATTGTAAGATTGCTTTCATCTCATTTATCAACAAATTGTAGCGTGCAAAAAGAAAACCTTCGATCACCCAAATATTCTGTAAAAAACTCAAACAAGAAAGCACTTCAACATTGTTCTTATGATGCATACTTTCTCAGGAGCCTCTACATGTGAGCAATAATTTCCATGGAACACAGTTATTTCCAGAAATATCAGATCCAAACCCCTTATCTCTCTATACATCTAGATTTCAAATATATATATATATATATATATATATATATATATATATATATATATATATATATATATAAGGTTTTGCTAACCTACTACATGGCCATCGTAGGTTAGCATTGTACCCACGATTCTCAAAAATACCCCTGTTAGTACATTAAATATAAGGGGTTTTCTGTCTTTAACCCAACTTTCTTCAGCTTTGTGAGTTGCAATTCGCTACAGCCATCCTCCTTTTTTTAAAGTAAAGATATATACTGAAAAGGTACCAAGATGGTATAGAAAGAGTTACAGGTCATAACTGCAGATCTCACTCCAACATACTACATGTTTTCCCCTAACAAGTGTAAAAATTCCGAACACTGATCCATCTTATCTAAGATATTACTATGACACCAAAAATACAAGTTCTTGATACATTTGTTTTTTACCCTAGGTATCTGCAGCCTCCTCCCCTCTACAGCCATCCATCTTCAAGTATGTGGGTGAAAACAAATTGAACTTTGGCAGATGGTTGAACTCCAGCAGCCAAAGGAAACAAGGATGGGCAACAGGACAAACACGGAAATGGCAGCGCTAGGATCTGAGAATCCAAATAGCTTTTCCGAGCTGCCCCACTTTTAGCTGAACTAAAAAGCTCCCCAGAACTGATGAAGCCACACTAACGTTTCGCAAAAACAAAAAAAAAGAAATCAGTAACTTTCGCCATCGAAACATATTTTCTAACAGTTGATGCAAAATTCGGTTTTACTCACAATTAAAAATTGGAAATCCTCCCGTTTGACAGAAAAGTTGCAGTTCGTTGGAAACAATTGGTAGTCCAGTCTTAACAAGAGCTATTGAATTTGTGTATGAAGGCTTGAGGGTGGCTGGTGGTTTTTGTTGGAGTCCTCTGTGATTGGTACTGGCTGCTTAGAGGTGTTGTTTGGACAGAAAAATAGTGTTTGCGTATGGAGGTTGCTGTGAGCTCTCTTAAGGTGATGAGATAAGGATGGCCTTGTGGTGGTTTATTCGTGGTGGAGAGGGCTGTTGGGTGGTGATGGGGCAACAGTGGTGACTGTTGTTCAAGGAGAGGGTGAACTGAAATGGACTCCAGATGATGCAGGGGAGAGGAAATGAATTGGGGTAATTCAAAAAAGACAAAATGCCATATACTTAATGAGTTGGCAGGGACATTTAAGGAAATAAAAAAATGGGGAGAGTGCTATCCTACTACACTCTTCCTTATTTAAAAAAAGAAAAGAAAAAAGAAACACACAAATCTTCTAATCTGTTCCATTTCTACTTATTCCCTTCATACTTTATCTAATGATTTTTATTGTTAGCTTCAGTTTTGTGAAATGTGTTGCTACATTTGGGGACTAAATGTTTTGAAGGCCTACATTAAAACTTACATTTGCTAGAGTAAATTACAATTTAGAGAACCAAAGAGATATAAACACCCAGTTCCTGCACTAAGCAATGCATATTTCTGGGTGAAGTGAACTTGGCATTTTGATAATAAAATAAAGCTTTTGAATAAAAAATAGGAGAAAACTGAAATGATAGTCATCAATTAAAGTTGATAGCAAACAAATAAACCAGTTTCAACAAAAAAAAATATAGCTATCTATGCCTAATGATTTCACTGAAGTACTTTTCGTCCCTCAACAACATTAGCTGAACTTGATAATAGATGTTTTAAGGACTAAAAAGAAACAGGGAAGACAACCCATGATAAACAAGATCTGGTAAGTACAGAGCAGCCTCATTGCCATTTATTTATTTAATTCTCTCATAAAGGTGGTGTCTGGACCCGCTTGTGGGCACCTCGAATGTTTCACCGCGTACCTACTACCTCTTACTAGTGACGTACCGGGTGACTCCGTCAACCAAAGCTTAGGCACATGGGGAAAAATCACATAAGAGTTTTCTTGTCTCTACTGGGATTTCAACCTGGTCTCTCATGGTTTTCACCCACTTCATTGACCTCTACGCTACATCCTTGAGTGCGCCCATTGCTACTTATGTAGCGAACGATTCGTAGAAATCTAGCATGGGTAATGAGTTCAAATTAAGTTGCCTTTAAATCAACATACATTCAGCAAGCCTGTGATACCTTATCAGTTTCAAGAAGACGATCAGCTTTTGACAGTAATCTGAACATCCTGTAGGCCTCCCTTCCATACCTTTTTAATACAATGGATTCCACCTGCAAGTTATAGCATATTGAGATGAAATAAGCCAGATTTTAGCAAATTGAAACACTAACCTTGGTCTATAAGTTTGTAACCAACCTCTTCAATGCGAGCCTGTTCAATAATGTTCTTCAAATCTGTGGACACATAACTATCAGTTGTTATAACGGAAATCAAACACCAGCATCCACAAGGTTTTAGACTTTGCTCAAGATTATATTACAACGAAAAGTCAAGTATGGATAGATATGCTTACCTACACTATAAGTTTCATCTATCGCCATCAATGGGGTTTCACATCCTAATTCAACAAGGGAAGCTCTGATACGCTCCAAATCCATACCAAGACCACCATCCCTCTTTATCACCTCATCATAAATAGCATTTATGGACTGAGGAACTGCAAATAATGATTTCAGATTTCAGTGAAAAAATATAATGACCAACACATTTAGAAGGTGGGATAAAAGAGTCTGTGAAATTTAAAGCCAAAGATAACACTACATGAACAGCTAAAACAGGAATATGATATTCATCAACACAAATTGCTACCTTTCACAAAAACAAACCAAATGCAAATTTTTGGCACAATATCTTAAGCAAGTACAAAAATGTTAACTGTACAGGCCACGACTTTTACTCAATTACAGACCTTATCATACAGAAATTACTCAACTACAGAAAAGTATAGAAGCAAGCATGCCACTGTTGTGCACGTCTCTGAAAAGGGTCTATGAGGCTCAGGCTCCAGTCTAGAAAGTTATCCATATATGAGTATATGATTCAACATGAATGTACCATCACAAAAAACTCAAGATGTTAAAGCCTCAAAAGCAAGGCCGAAGATTAAAGTTGGCGGGGTTTCTATTTTATGAAGAAAAGTTGGTGAACTTTGTAGATGTGAAATATCATGTCTTTTTATGTCATGATGCTGGCAATCCCTCATCTCAAACATATACATATGCGTCAGTTGTCACCATGCACCCGCCCATAGTTGAGCATATTATCATCCACATCTTCTTCTTCCTTTTTTTTTTTTGACAAAGGCAAACTTTAGTTTCTATTTATCTGTTAGTAATATCAGCAAGAGGTCAAAGACATGTTTCAAATTAATTGACCAGTAAATGAAATCCACACTCACCTGAGTTATCGATTCTCACTTTAGTCTCAGAATGTCTACTCAACTCCAGGGTCGCAGCAAGCACAATTGCAGCATCATTGTTGACACGTACTTTCACATTTGCAACGCAAGCCTACAATCCATACAGTTTGATAATAGCTGTGATTCTAGCAAGGCATTGTTTGAGATTCTAAGGAGATTTCAATTCTACTGTTTTCTTTGATGGTTTAACGGTTTTTGTGAAATAACCTAACAATGACACTAATTTGAATGTATTGGTACTCCATCACAAGAAGTTGACAGACCAACCTTGTGCCTTAAGCGGCGAATAAACTCTTCAAAATTGGCACGCCAGAGTACTTTATTTTCATCTGTAGCCAGCAGTTCTGTGTTTGACTCTAAATTATCTTGCTTCCGCTAAAATCACAAAATAATAGATCAGCCGACTAGCAAAATAGATATCTATAATGAAAATGTTATACCAACCTTTGTGCCAAGTGTCACAACCGTAGTCTTTTTGTCCGTTGTTTCCACAGAAGCCTCGTTCCAGGTGTCTGTTTCAACTAAGAATCTCATGGATTCCATTGGAGCTGCTGCTGCCAAGGCTCTTTGTTCAATGGTTTGTTTTACAATCTGTTTTCACCAGTAAATAACAAAATCAAGAACATGAACAGTAAAATACCAACTTAGATAGCTTTTTCTGCACTATATTTAGATATCCAACTTACAAGGATGCTAATGCTCTCATCCACCTTCCTCACCCCAAATAACCTAATACTGGTAGCAGTATTCTTCTTATTAAAAAAAGGAAGCAGCATCTCTTTGTTGATTTGAAAGAACGTTTCATGATTGCCCAAAAATACTGTAGATTTAACCTACATTCCTTTCTTGAATCCCTATGCTAGTACACCCTGCATTACTATTTGTATGACAGTGTTTGACTGAGGATTTAATGTCATTTTTAGAACGAAGAAAATGCCCGAAGAGTGGAGGTGGAGCACAATGGTTCCTGTATACAAGAACAATGGTGATATCCAAAATTGCAATAACTATCAGGGTATCAAGCTGCTTAGCCATACTATGAAAGCCTAGGAGAGCTAAGGGTGAGGAGGAGTGTGTCTATTTCCGAGAACCAGTTTGGGTTTATGCTGGGGCGTTCGACAACAGAAGCCATCTACCTTGTTAGTAGATCGATGAAGCAGTATAGGGAGAGAAAGAAGGACTTACATATGGTGTTCATCGACTTAGAAAAGGCATACGATAAAGTTCCGAGGGAGATTTTGTGGAGATGTTTGGAGGTTAGAGGTATACCTGTTGCTATGTTAGGTTGATTAAGGACATGTATGATGGAGTAATGACCCGAGTGAGGACGGTGGGTGGGGACTCAGACCATTTTCCGGTTATGATGGGGTTGCATCAGGGGTCGGCAATCAACCCTTTTTTGTTTGCTCTGACGATGGACGTACTGACGCGCCACATCCAAGGGAAGGTGCCGCGGTGCATGCTATTTGCAAATGATATTGTATTGATTGACGAGACGCGAGACGGTGTGAACGCGCAATTAGAGTTATGGAGGCAGACTCTGGAATCTAAAGGTTTCAAGTTGAGCAGGAGCAAGACAGAATACTTGGAGCGTAAGTTCAGTGGCGAGACTCGAGGAGGGGAAGGTGAGGCTGGACTCGCAGGTCATCCCTAGGAGAGGTAGTTTTAAGTACCTTGGGTCTATTATTCAGGGGGATGGGGAGATTGATGAACATGTCACGCATCGTATTGGGGCGGGATGGATGAAATGGGGACTCGTTTCCTGTGTTTTGTGTGACAAGAAGGTGCCACCAAAACTTAAGGTTAAGTTCTATAGAGTGGTGGTCAGATCAACGATGTTGTATGGGGCTGAGTGTTGGCCAGTCAAGATCGCTCATGTCCAGAAGATGAAGGTAGCAGAGATGAGGATGTTGAGATGGATGTGCGGGCACACCAGGTTAGATAGGATCAGAAATGAGGTTATTCGCGATAAGGTGGGTGTGACCCCTATTGAGGATAAGATGCGGGAAGCGCGGCTTAGGTGGTTTGGCCAAGTGAGGAGGAGGAGCACAGATGCCCCGGTGAGGAGGTGTGAGAGGTTGACATTGGAGGACCTACGGAGAGGTAGGGTAGGCCAAAGAAGAGGTGGGGAGAGGTGATTAGGCAAGACATGGCGCAACTTCAGCTGACCGAGGACATGACCCTTGATAGGAATGTATGGAGGTCGAGGATTAGGGTAGTAGAGTAGGTAGTCTAGAGTGTTCATAACTGTAGTATTGACACGCAGTCTCGCTTTTTGTTGGTAGTAGGTTTTAGTGACTAACCGTTGTTTTCTTTCATTGTTGATTACCTTACTATCTTGTTGTTTTTATTCTGCTTTTATATGGCTTTTTGGTATTGTCCCTTCTTGTCTATATTTCCATTAATGTGGTGCTTATGCTTTCCTGAGCCGAGGGTCTATTGGAAACAACCTCTCTATCCTCACAAGGTAGGGGTAAGGTCTGTGTACACACTACCCTCCCCAGACCCCCACAGTATGGGATAATACTGGGTATGTTGTTGTGTAAAATATTATTTTTGACTTATGTATTATTAGTGGCAATGGACGAGATATTAAAGTACTAGTTGAAAATTTAGTTTTACAGTGAAAATATCACACCAAAGTCTAAAACTTGACTTTATGGATTTGAATTTTTGGAAGTTGTTAGAGTTGGATAGAAATAGAATTGTGTCAAACATTTTGGAATGATCCAAAATCGAAAGAGTGCCATATAATTGAAACAACCGGAGCATTTGGTTTACATTGTGAATAGTGTTATCAAAGGTGAAAAGCGCAAAAAAGTTCTAAGGTCCGTTGGGTCTTTAAGCGAAAATTGCAAATGAAGCGTGGGCTTTAATGGGGAAAGGTGCAAGAAAAATACAAATACTTATGTGTAGTCTAAGACTAATAATTATAAGTATGAATAACAAACATATGGACAAAGAAATTGAAAAAAATTGCAATAAAGTGAAATATCAATTTTCTAGTGTCGCTTCCTTAGGATTACGCTCATTAGCAAGGAAAAGCATGTCTTAGTGCCTTGATGACGGCATTGAAGTGCCCGCTAAGTAAGGGCGAAGCGTTCCACATGTTTTGTACCTCACTTCAGGGCATAAGCACGCTTTAAGAGCGCCTTTGACAGCACCGACTATGAATCCTGTCTCCTATCTCTTTATCTTGTTTACTGTCATTTTCGGTGACTTCAACATGCATTCCTCAGTTTCAAATGATAAATGAAAATACACTGTAAAATATTGATGAAGCTTAAATTTAATCATTTTTTTTCGGAAGCTGCTTAAAAATACTCCAATTATGACTGACCTTTTCCAATTATAGATAGGCTCTTATTGGGAAGAAAATTATGTCTTGTAAATAAATAATGTGTGGAAAAACATATATGGTGCTGACATAGCCTTTGCCCTAAGACACTTACGAGTTTAAGTAAAACAGTTAAGAATTGAACCAAACTTCTTAGCCAATTAGACAAGGAACTCCTCAATTTGTTATGTTTTATTGTCCATCATAGCAAAAGCTTCAATGTCTTGTTGTAAACTTGTACATGAGAGTGATATGGCAATATCTAGTTTTAAACTCAGACAGTTCGACCTCTCGTAAGAAGATTTGCTGGTTAATAGAAGAACAGAGAAGTATGCTATTGCTCGCAAATATCACCATGACATTTACTTGCAATCTATGATTAACAGTGCCAAAGCACATGCGGAATTAAGAAGTTCTTCATCTTAAGAAGAAAAGCAACGATTGCACAGATTTCTAGAGTTAAATTAAAAATGCAGCGGAAAACCAACATCACATGGAGTCATCAGGTCTTTGACGGAAAACAGTATTGAAAAGAAGTTGTCATCATCATAATAAACTTTGACACCAGAGTACCTTGGCAGATTTAGCACCTTGTTTCTTTGCAGCAGTTTCTTCTTCAGCTGGTGGACCAAGAAATGGTTCAGGGGCAGGACAGCGTTCCACGAATCGAGCGTTAACTAGCTTGCTGAAGTTATCTCGTGCAGCTTCAGCGCTAGAATCTCCTGGACAGTGACGAGGACCTCTTAAAGTAAGAAAGATGTTAAGGATATGCAGCTTAAGCTTTTAGAAGATTGACAACCCAACTTTGTTGCTTCAGGTTCAAGTAGTCATAATCAAGAAACAAATAAAAATGCAAATTGTGGTTATGAAATAGAACAGGAGTGCCTGCTGTTTGAATTATGCAATAGCTTCCGGTGATCATAAAGCTCAAAAGTTGCTTTACGTACGAAGAACATAGATGTCTATAATCAGAGTTTACAAGAGACTTAATAGAGAAATACATAAAGGATAATTCTTTCACCTTGATTTGATGTCTGCTTGAATCTATCTATAATTTGGTTGAGTGAAAGCCTACCATGTTGAAGCAACCCTTCAAAAATCTCTTCACACTAGGAAACAAACAAACAGACACATTCAATACCATAAACATAAAATATAATCAGCTCGAAATACGGCAACAAAAATTAAAACCAAACAATAACCATGAAACTCACTTCTTTTCCGATTTCTTTTCCGCCCTCTTTTCCGACTTTTTCTCCGAGTACCTCAGACACAATCTCTAAAAACTTAGGGAACCTCAATTTATGGATTATGTTGTCAAATAATGCCATGTAGTTTGTAATAACTTTTGGTGCCTCCCCAAATGCACCTAAATGGCAATCAATATATCAGAAATCAAATAACTTCTCATTATCTATCCTCAAATTGAGAAGAGTTTTAAGTTATATACATTGTCAGTATAAAGAATTTTTTTAAACTATCAGGTCACCAAAGGATATCTACAGATAAAAGTGGCTGACCGTGTAAAAAATCCTTACATGATGGTGTATATAAATTAATTAGAAAGGCTACTAATTTGTAATATGAGATAGTAGTACTAGTGGCATTAGTGACAGTACCTTCTTGTTGAACTGCAAAGGCTTGAACACAATTGTGATGAATAAGAACAAGTAAACAGTTCCTAACATTCTCTCTGCTAAGCTCTGTGAAACGTACAATTTGTGCTAACGATTGAGTTCCTCGTTGCAACAGACACTCGCAAACTTTCTGCAAAAATTAACAGAAGATGAATTAGAAATCAACAAATTGATTTTAGTTAAATTGAAAAGCATCTACAAAGTTTGTGCATAAGAGGATAGAGTAACCCTAAAAGGGAAGAAAAATTAAAACATAGAAATCTTTAGACATAGGTCTTAGGTTTTTACAGCATTAAGATCGCCGAAGTAAGAAGAGATGAGATAAACAGCGAGTTTGATGCCGTGCGGCGACACCATTGCGGCCCACTCTGCTTCTCTACTGAGAGAGAGACAGAGAAAGAGTGACAGAAGAAACGGAGGCGGGAAGCCGCGATGGGTTGAAAGTGATGAAAGAACTAATATAACAATATAGGGCTTAGGATGCATCAAGGGTCCATAGCTCAGTGGTAGAGCATTTGACTGCAGATCAAGAGGTCACCGGTTCGAACCCGGTTGGGCCCTTTTCTTTTGTTTTTCCCTTTTGTGGTCGATTATTGGTAATACTTTAGAAATATATTTTTTACTTTTTAAACAACGCAAAATTTTGCTTAATATTATGAGAGTTAGTTTTGACATTTTGGTTTAATAATTGTATTCTTATTCCATATAGATTCCCGCATAATTATGCATATTTACCAGGAAATCTTTAATAGCGACCATATATATTTAGTAAGAATATTAAATCTCCTTGAAACACGAGTGTGGCATCGAGCCAAACCTTATATTTTTTAGCCGACCAAACACCTATTGATTAAGAAAAATACTTGTGAAATAATCAGATTGACGGACAATTGCTAAACCTCCCTCAAAGCCATAAGTCTCATTACTCTTGATCCAAGAACTGGTGACAATTGCAATTGAACAATATGATTATTGGTTTAATTGTACATTTAATTTAAACGCAATTAAATTAAATAAGGAACATTGAGTTTTGTACCAGAAACTAGATTAAATAATAAATTATATTTGAATGATAAAGTTTAAATTTAAGTGCAAATATTAATAAATAAATTGATAGATTAGCTTTACCCAAAACTAAATCTTTATACTATAAAGGGGTCCTAATTTGTATGTGGTTTTCTTTTGGTAGTTCTTTTTGTACTTTTCTTCAATAGAACTTGAAAGAATGTCTGCTACACGTTAGTAGTTGCACTCTCCTGGTTCCGCAAACTAGTTCAGAAAATCTAGGAGACTTTTAAAACTTGCAGTCTTAAAAAATTAAAAGGTAAAAGTTTTGTGGGGTCATGACATTTGTGTGGTTATAAAAGCTTCTCATTAAGGCTAATATGAAAAGTTTAAAGTTGAAGTATTTTCAATTATAAAAATGTGTCATTCTTTTTGGAACGAACTAATAAGGAAAATGTGTCATCTATATTGAAACAGAGGGAGTAATAAATTTTGAACCTTATCCCTTCCATGGGTGAGTGGATTCTAGTTTCAAGCATTTATCTTGCAGCAGTAGAAGCAGTTTGTACCAAGAACTAGTAATTTCATGATTTATAACCAAAAGAAAGAAAAGAAGTCCAGGATACATTTCTAGCGCAGTAAGACTTGATTGAGAAGTTGAATATGATATTCAGATATGATCAGGCTGCTGAAAATCTGTTTTGTTGTTGGAGCATATAGTCTACAGAGCAAGGTAACTTAGTATGACATCACAATACAAAGATTTAATGTATGACTTGAACATAATCAAACAACAAGTGAAAATAAAAATACAACAGCATTGAGGGGAGGCTGCAGGTGGGAACATATATATATATATATATATATATATATATATATATATATATATATATATATATATATATATATATATATATTTCAAAGTGCTCGCGACTTTATAATTTCAAGGCTCATTTCGCTAGGATCCGTTGCTTGCAATTCAACTTGAATTCCATCTAGTTCTCTCTTGAATATGTCCTTTGAGCTCGCGTATACCATCTTCATCCTCACCTTTGATGTATCAGGAGACCTAAAATCCATGATAGTTTGTCAAAAAGGAGCTAACCCAACACAGTAATCACCATAAATTAGACAAAATAATTATAAAGATACATAAGGATTGAAGAGAAAAAAAGGGCAGTCCGGTGTATAAGCTCCCGCTATCGTACACAGCCTTACCCTGCATTTCTGCAAGAGGCTGTTTCCACGGCTCGAACCCGTAACCTCCTGGTCACATGGCATCAACTTTACTAGTTACGCCAAGGCTCCCTTTCATCGTAACGATTGAAGAGAAACGTAGAGAAAATATAACAGAAGGGAAATAAGCTGGAAAATTGGTATTACCAAGCGATAAAGAAAATCTTGCTTTTCTGGTAATTTTCAGTAGTTATGAAGTCAAAATCAAAGACAGTATAGCGGCATTCATCTGCAGGTAGAGAGTTGGTGAAATCTTCATAGCTTTCTTCAGTGCCCCCAAGCTTCTCCACCACCACTTGTTGAGACTCAATTTTGAAAATTATGTATCTGTAATTGCTCTTTGATTTTAATTCCAAAAACTTCAGCTTACAGTCATCATGCACAGCCATCCCAGAAGCAGCATTCGCCTGCATGCCGGCCCATAAATTACTTTGTCAAAACAACCGAAGAGGGAATATATATCACGAAGAATGATATATACATAGTCAATGCATTGTGTCACTGGTAGCGGAAGCTGAATATTTACTAGGGGGATTCAAAAAATAAAAGAATAAAAATACAAGAAGAAGCTAACGAGATTCAACATCTAATATATACACATGAAAAAAAAATTGGCCTACACAATGTAATTTTAGGCGAAGGGGGTTTGGCTGAACCCCCTTCCGCCCACATATCTCCATCCCACAAAACTCCTTCAGCTCATTCATCACTGTATTGGTCGAAATCTGATCGCTGCAGTCGGCCTGACCAAGATCTCGCCCAAGCGGCGAGATAGTGAAAGACGACGGGGTTTGCTGCAAAACCCCGGACTCATAACGCCCACCGTGACAAAGAACGATACTAAGGGAACGACGAAAGCGGACGTTGTGCGAATCAGTATTGACCCATAGTGAGGGTTCCATAGCTATATATAGGGGAGGAGTCTCTCAAGGGGAGGTTTTTTTTTCTCTCTCTCTCTTTTCTCTCCTCTATAATCTTCTTAGAAAAAGGAGTCTTCCCATGGAAGATGGAAAACAGTGATCTCCATCGATGTATGAATGAAAAAATGGAAAATATCAATGAGATTGATCACCCCTATTTCATCTTATGCATTATTTTCTGATTCGTTTATGGATCTGGAGGTTATTAGGTTTGACTATGATTTACCTCTTCATTCTCTTTAATTGATTTGTTCGAAAAGATTCTAATATCTTTTGAGTCAAACAATTTGGTGCCGTCTGTGGGGATTTCTTAGTGAAAACCTCCTAGTCCCCTCCAGATCGAAAATCGGAAACACGATCACCCACCGAGAGGAACGGTAAGTGAATCTCACACTCCAGCCTAGATCATGATGCTATATACAAGCAAAAGTTGTAACCAACACCATCCCCCGCATGCCGGGCAGCCCATGAACCAGTCAAAACAAGCTTGGCCCGCACTGATCCAAGGCACAAAAAGGAAGAGAAAGAGAATCGAATACGGTTACCAAACTCAGAAAACACCATCCTCGTCAACCATCAGAGCGCCAAGTAGAGCAAGTAGTGCCACCAATCCACCTTCGTTCACCAACTCATCAGATTGGGATAAGGAGGATATCATCCTAACCCACCTTCTGTTGATTGCCCAAACAAGAACGTAAGCGTAGCACGGGCAAGCAAGCAAGGAAACATCCCAATCGAAGAATAGGAAATTATTACGGAACCACTGAAATATCATCCACCAGACAAACCCGACGCCTCGAAAGTAATACCCTTGGAATGATACTTCCTCTCCCTCACCAAAAGGGTGTCCCAAGAAAGCCTTCCTAGGGACTTAAACATCAGGGCGACGAGGAGGAACCTCCTCTAGGTCAAAGCGTAACTCATCGTCCCATCCGCCAATGACATCTCAAAATCGGAGAACGAAAAGGTTAGACGGGAAAACTTCAATATGTGTATGAAACGAGTGCGAACTAAGCAGCAGCGTTTCCTGCTCTCCGATATCACATTCCCCGACGCAAGAAAAATTAAACAGACTGGGACTCGTCCTCAAAATCCCTACCAGTGGAGTGATCCGCCAATCCACACAGTGCCCTGAAATGACTAACGACGAGGCCAAGTATGAAGCTGTGGTTGCAAGGTTGAAATTAGCCCTTAAACATGGCACTCGACGACTCGCCCTCCATTACGACTTTTGACTCGTGGCGAATCAAGTCACTGGGACTTTCCAAATCGAAGAACAGAGACTGCAGAGGTAGCAATTAGAAATTCACAAACTGCTACCAGAATTCGACGAATGCCGCTTCGATCAGATAACCAGGGCGTAGAATATCAAAGCGGATGGTATCGCCAAGCTAGCTGCAACCACCAGAAATATCAACAAGGAAAATGTGGTCACCCTTCTCCGTTCCTCGATGGACCAGGTCGAGGTACACTCTATAAACCTAACTTGGGACTGGCACAACCGTATCGTAACACATTTGCAGAAGAAAGCACACGAGGGGCACTGCGGCGACCATACGGGAAACCGTGCTCTCGTCAGATGCCTCGTTCGCGCAGGATACTACTAGCCTACCATGAAAAAGAAGCCTCAGATTAAGTCAAGAAATGTGAGCAGTGCCAAAAATATGCCCCTATGATACACCAAACAGGAGCTCGTGCATTCTGTCACTTCGCCATGGCCAGTCATAAAGTGAGAGATGGATATTGTCGGACACCCCCCCCCTAGCAGGGTGAGGTAAGGTACACTCCCTTTTGGTTTTAACTAACTATCTTTCTAAGTGAGTGGAAGCATGTGCATACACTCAAATACGTGAGCAAGGAGTTATCGCGTTCATATGGAAAAATATAATATGCCGCTTCGGCATTCCCAAAGAAATCAGCTGTGACAACGGACCACAGTTCGTCGGAAAGAAAACAATCGAGCTTTCCGAAAAATGTCGCCTATCTCAAATACTTCCACTTCTAAAAAGAGGCGCCTCCTAATTCGTACTTTTTTTCCTCACCCGGGTTTTATCCCAATCGGGTTCTCGGTGAGGTTTTTAATGAGGCGGCAAGGGAGACGTCTCGGAGTTCAAAATGCTGTTCATCACCCCGCCCATCGACATGATCTCCAGGCCGAGTAATGAAGGGACTGGGTATAGATAGCCAAATCTCCATTGTATGTACAAAGTCAACGCGTGTTTCCTACAAGAGTGGTCGAAGCAGCTTTTACCCGAGAAGGTCGGGATCGATTTTCATAGGGAGCTAGAGATAGGAGTTGAGTTTCTATCTAAATTGGAGTTGTGTAATTGTTCCTAATTGCACTTCTAACATATTTGGTTTTAATATTACTTCTAAATTTATACTACTAAGATGCTAGATTAAGCTAAGTTAAGCTAAGAGTAGACTATTGAAGGTTGTCTAATTAGTTAAAAGGCACTAGGGGAGTGACTTTCTCCTAGGTGGATACTTGACGGGTTCTCGTGTCTAACGCTAGGTTGTCATATTTGGGGATTATGATATAACCATTGCACGATTCTACTCACTCTATACCTCTCGGTAGTTTGAGTGATTTTGCCCTAATTGACTTTCTCAAGGTCAATTGGGTATGATCATTTGTGCAAGCAATTGAGGTTCAAGTCGGGTATTACTATTTCTAGGTTTAACCCTTTAATTGGGGCTATCAATCTCTTGAGTACGCCCCAATTCCGTGTTGGACTAATTTTTATACACTTAGGCTCTCTTTCTCAAGAAGAGCCCAAGTCAACTAGGCCTAAACTAGTGTTTGTAACCACTAATTCAACATTAAAACCATAAATTAGTCCAAATATCAAACACCCATAGACATTCAAGCCTTAAAACACAAGACCCATCAATTACCCACACTAGGATTGAGCCACAACTCTAGCTGATGGGTCTAGCTACTCATGATAATAGAGGAAAACAAAAAGTAGATAAGAAAACCCCATAATATTTAATTACTAACTAAAACTTGAAGATTCAATGATAAAACTATTGTAAAATTACTCAAAATGGTAAAAGGACACTATTCACGAGCGCAGCTCAGCTTAAAATTATAACTGATACCAAAAATGGGAAAAGAAACTATTTTATACTTAGGTCAAAAAAGTTCTAGGACTAAAAATACCCCTGCGGGGCAGTGCGCCGCATAAATCGAGTGCGGCCGCACTAAGGCTCTTGGCTGAAATTTCTGCTCTCTGAACTTGGCCACAGCGGGCCGCACAAAATGCACCGCGGCCGCGGTGTCTTCTGTTGCGGTCCGCACAAAATGGACTGCGGACCGCATTGGCGATGTTCCTCCAACTTGGCAACTCTCTGAACTTGAGCTTTGCGGACCGCACAAAATCGAGTGCGGCTGCAATGACGTCAATGCGGTCCGCATGAAATGTTTTGCGGCCGCATTGCTTGGCTGCCTAAAATGAACACTCTATGAACCTCCTCTTTGCAGACCGCACAGAATGGAGTGCGGCCGCATTGGTCCTGTTATACTGAGCTTGGACTTGTTCTTGGTACTTGTGCATGTTCCGCTCCTTTTTGAGCTGATTTTGACGAATTGTCACCTCGTTGACCAAACCCTCCAATCAAGTACAACATGTGAGCCTTTGGGACTATTTTGTACACCTTTCTAATCAAAACTCAAGTAAGAAGGAGTGTAAAATGCATCATAATCCCTAGTTATAAACTCCCCCAAACTTAAGCTTTTGCTTGTCCTCAAGCAAACAAAATCAAACCCACCCCTTAAGAGTACATCCAAGAAAATTCAGCTGACCTAAAGTGACCTCAACTAGCATCAATTGGGACTAACAATTGCCCTCATTTCAAATGAATCATTAACAACATTCACTCTTTTAAACACCATGGATTTAGTGCGACACAAGAGCATCAAGAGTTGACTCAACACATCAAAGAAACTCTTTCTATTACTTTGGTCATTGTGGAACCCAAACTCACACATCCTCGACTCTCCCTAAGCAAACCTCACCTTTAGGATAGTAGCACTTAGAACGAGGTTAATGGAAATACACTCATCTCTCTCAAGGAAAAGTCACAAGTCCGGCTCTAGGTACCATATGCTTGCCCCTTATGTGAGTCACCACTAATGTAAGCTTTATTCAACTCAAGATCATATAGGGCTTTTGTGGAGACATAGTGAAGGCTTTTGGTTTAGGGTAGGAAATTTTTGGTCTAAGTAGGTTCCATCTTCCCTTTAGTACTTCTTTTGCTTCATTTTGGCACACATTCACTTGACTTTTTAAGTCCTTTCACTTCTTTCTAAGGGGTTAGAGAGA